GCGTCTTTAAAAAAAAAAGCTGATCCAAATTCAATGAATGTTAGCTCATTGGATTCATCTAGTCACAGGGAATCGAATGGTAGTTGTTTCATACGAATCGGAGTGATATTGACCGAAATTGTACATCTTTTATTTTTTTTTGTTTTTTCTATATATAAAAAATCATGTGATATGACGTAATTTCGACTTTTCATTTTGACTTTGACCTCCAAAGTTAAAATATTTTGACTTTTGGGTTTTCATTTCGACTTCATGTATAGCTATAATGTCCAAATTGTATATACCAATGTGATTTGTTATTTCTTATACATAATCATTATAAGCGTAAAAAATATATAGCAGTACTTAATATAATAGACTGTACTTTCTGATATAAGACTTCAGTTTTACTCATATCAAGAAGAATTCTAAAGTTGCTAGAGATTTCAGAAAAAAATATATGATAATCATAATAATCCTCTTGTATAGCCAGAGCTTCTATAATGTGATGGGGGTTGTGAATTATGGAGAAGACTTCTAGATTGATGAAGGGTATAATATTACCATTCGAGTAATTGGTGCATATTCTCATCAAGGAGTAGCTTTTGCAGAATGTTTTAACAAAACACTCACAAAAATACTCTATAAAATCCAAGATGCTGTTGAAATCTATATATTCTAATTCGAAATTAATAAAAGTATGGGTTAGGCATTTGCATATGATTATTGATTATCTAAATAATTATCCTATACATCTCATTTGAGAATCAGAGACTAAGAAATAGTGTTTTACACCTATAAAAGCTATTATATTAGAAAAGTAGAATCGAGACTATTCACAAAATATAAGCATCCAGTTGAAAAAGAAGTAATAACGTTAAAGAAAGGTGATACTATTCAATATCTTTTTGCTATTGCAGAATAAGAAGGGGGTATAGAAAATCAGAAAAAAAGCTACTGATCCTATATACAGTCCAAGCCTTCATAAAATCCAGAAAATTATAGTGATAAAGAATGAGCAAGTTTTATATTTTCTGGATGAAGAATTTGCACTATTTCACAAGTTTATTTGAGAAGAACTCATATTAATAGTTGATCCAGAAAAAGTTGGGTATTTACCTCAAACTATATTATTCATAAATTTCGTTAAAGCTTCTCCTATCAATAGTGAGTTAAATCAAGCCATTAGTTATGCTCAAAGACGTGGTGATCAATGTCTAGAAAAGACTGGAGAAATAAATAGACATAATGTATATCTTTGGTCTTGTGAGAATGATACATATCAATGAGAATATCCATTAAAATATATCATGAAGAAATTTGAGTGGTACACTCTTTGTCATCATACTACTGAAAAAATGTATGATATATTTTTAAGAATCTACTAGACAAAAAATTCCTATCCTGTAGACCATCATTTTTGAATGGAATGCAACTCAATAGGTATAATGAGAAACTATAACTAGTATTCGAATTCCATGGCCAGTAACACTATACTCTTAATTCAATGTTCTATAGGAGAAGGGATATAGATTTGGAGAGATAAAAATCATGAGATCAGAAAAAGCAGAATATATGCAAGAAGCAAGGTTTATGTCTTATCAAAGTGTTGTATACATGTGACCTTTTCTCTTATATTAAGCATATGCTAATTGAGAAAGGATTTTTGAATAATTTCTCAAGTTAAATCTGAAAGTATTATTTTCTTGCTAAGACGACAGCCGTTCTGAAAATTACATAATATATTTTTAAAGTATGATATTAAGCAATATGAAAGATCATAAGAAACATCAAATCAGAAAGCTTAATCTAGTAAATAGAATCATTCTTCATATTGATGAGATAAAAGATGCAAAAAGATTTAACAGATTAAACTCAACTTCCTAATGATTTTTCACTATTTTGATCTCAGAATGGACTAATTCAGAAAAAACTAATGAAGTCATGAATCTATTATTGGAAAACAAGCTATATCAAATGTTTAATAGTAAAAAAAGAAGAATACAATATATTAAAAATGATAATTCTCTTTTGATTAGCCACCACCTCAAGAAGCTAAAATACTTGTATCTCAAATCTGGTTATCAGATAATTGCAAATAATCCAAAACCATATCATGAAGATATCACATTTCAAGCAATAAAACCTGATAAAATCCTAAAATTGGATTCATTCTCTCCAGAAAGAGGTACAGGGTTGCCCCAACTTATTTTATTTTTTCTTTACAAGTGGTACATTCGGTAAGCGATCAATACAAAAAAAGAAAGGATCAATTTATTGTATTACTCTAATAAATATGTAATATACTATTTTGGTAAAGAATCTATAGTTCAGATAACTCATTGCACATACTCACAATTATTTTTTGAATCTAAGAAATCTATACTATTAAGCTTTCTCTCAATAGTAAGATATCCAGTTTTATAATAGTTGATTTTTAGCAATTCACATGAATATAATTTGTCTACTATTTTACACATATATCGCCTATATTTTGAACTTCTAACAAAGTTTACATTACCATTGTTGAGGTATTTGGCAATATAGTAATATTCAGGATTTGATAGCCACTTTAACATATAAGACCAACCATCATATTTAACGATTCTATAGCCTTGCAGATGTAATTCTATAAAAGTAACTATGTATGTTACATTATTTAATCATTTTCATAACTGATGTCTCTTCTTTTCTGTTCAACTTTGTGGATCATAATGATCATATAATATGTGAATATGCTGATCATGTTCAGATATGTCTTTAGCTTGAATTCTATTTTCATAATTATATCCCACCCAATTATAGTATATATACTGATCATTGGAAACTCTTATTTTGCAAGAAGTTATATTTAGAAACTTCTTCTCGTCAGGAATATCATCATTTCTCATTATATTCCAAAATCGTTTTGCCTATGTCTCAGGTCTTAACTTATAAGCTTTTCAAGTCTGTTAGATAACTTTTGCACTATTGATTAAACGATTTACATGCCTTTTCCTAATTTCATATTTATATGTATAACTATAATTAGCCAAGGCTTTACTGAATATAAAACAATATGTTTGATAAATTTTTTCAATCTCATCAGAAGTGAGTATTGATACACTTTCTTCTTTTTTCGTATTCTTTTGTATAGATTTACTGCGTCTTTCAGCAATGCATTTCTTTAGGTGATCATTTACACAATTTATAGTATTTTCTTGAATAAATGCTAAGGAGTCATATACAATGTATTAAATATTAAATGAGTGTCTTCTAGCTTTAAATTCCCCATCTATATATACTCTTTCAACCATTTAGATAAATCCATTCTTCGAAAAATATTTTGGGTTATATTCAATAAATGAATAACAAACATGAGAACACCACATTTCTGGTGTTTCACCACTATACCCAGTGATGTGCATTTTATGCTTCCAATGGTAAAAAATTTGATTGGAAGCTTCCAATCCAAATAATTTTATTAATAAATTGTGCTTCCAAACCTTCCAAAGGTGCTTCCAATGGTGCTTCCAATCTTCCAAGTGCACATCACTGACTATACCTATATTGCAGATTATTTAACGCTTGCACTACTATAGGATTTAAACCAGAATAGTTAGTTTTAACCATTTTTTATAGTTTATAACTGATCTTAGTGATTTATAGCATTTTAACGAATTATAGTAATTTCAAAGTATTATATCGATTTTTTATCAACCTATACTAGAGAATACCATGATTCAAATTTATAGGAGTTTAATGCTTTATAGCGATTTTATTAACTTGTAGCCGATTTACTGAGACTAAACACTACTAAATCCAAATTCATTTTTATTCGATTAACAAGGATATATTAATACTGTACAGCAACGGGGATTATATAGGTCGGCTCTTGTGATTTATCTGACGTAATGATTCGGTTAAATTAAATCTGAATCACTAACGGCTAAATTATTTTCAGATCTATTAGACAGAATGACGTTATTATAAAATTTGTATTACATAATTTGTATTACATGAGATCTTCCTATAGTTTCCTCATAGCGCTGGAGTTGTTTCTCAAATCACGAGGAAGAAGATCAGCTAATCAGATTTTGTGTAGCACCTAAGCCACGATTTGCAAAATGCAAATCAGCAATATTACATACTGCGCATAGCATACACTGCATACACTGCAGTATGCGCTTACGTGATATTTAATGCTAACACGGTGGCATGATACATGACATTCTATGCTAAGAAAATTTTTTAGCTATGAATCCACATAGCATACATGCATTAAAAAACAATAAGTCCATATCCAAGTGAACCAATAAATGCTTTATTAATTTTTATTTGTCACATTTCGAAAAAATACATGATAAGAATATACTAATAATGCATACTAGCTATTATAAGATTAAAAAATAATAAGTGCAACGATTTCTTATATGTTAAGATCACCATTGTCCTTCTCATTTATTACATGAAATAAACACTAGCTCCTTCTACTTTTCCATCTCTTCAATTGCAGTTAATACTTGAGATTTTTGAGATTGGCTCTTTGGTGACCACCATGGCTTATGGATAAATACTGATTTGCGTGAATTGTGTTGTGATGATTTAACGCCATCAACTTTGAAAATGTCTTCAAGTAAGTTCCGACTATGGTTCAACTCATCAAACACTTCGTTGACTTTTTTATACATTTCCTGTATAAATTATAAATTATTATTCTTTGATGTCAAACTAGTAAAAAAAAAAATCATACTGAAATGGTTGGTTATGCGCATTTCCAATCAACCAACTTATAGTACTTACCATTATATGCTTAAAAGATATTATCGCTGATTTTAATTTTCTAATGTGAATCAATTTTGTTGGTATCTCAAATATTGGTCCAGGATAAACGATATAAAAGCCATTTACCAAGTCTTCCACCAATAGTTGTCCAAAAACACCGGCAATTTGTAAATATGGAACCTTGATCATATCCACTTGTGTGTCAGTTAAATCTTTGCTCAACAGGCCATTCAAAATTGATTGGTTTATTCTAGCTGAGCGACAACGATCTTCAATTGTTTTGGTTGGAGTTGCTTGAGCGGAAAACTCCCATTCACCAAGATCTATTCCCATATGACTTAAAAATCGGACATCACATTTCCTACCTCTTTCATGATTAGCGGACTGGCTCAAGGGACAGAATGACTCTCCCCTTGTGAACAAAAATATTCATTATTCATGTTTATATGCTTGCAAAGATCAAAAAGATATTATTTATTTATTTACCATTTAGAATGTATTCCAGTTCCATTCTGCAGTCCATTGACAATGTAAGCACATGTTTTTACAATAACATCGATTTCAGTGTGATGCTCACCACCACAATATAACAGATCATTTCCATCTTTAACATTGTAGAGACTACATGGGTAGTTAAAAAAGATAAATAAGGACAAGCTACAGATGATAAAATGGATATAAGAAAATACTCACAAATCACTATATATTTTACTTATTTTGTAGACACGTATTGACTGATGCATCTGCATGCTGATTAAGACAATATTTATGTGCCCCATTAACATCGCCTTCCCTTACCATCTACGTAACAGTAAAAAATAAATTTATATGTGTAAGATACTATTAAATACATACATATTGTATACCTACTTTTTCTATCTTTGCAATGAACTTATTAATGTCTTCTGTCAATTCGGGAATTTTAAGAATTTCTTCGTAATCCTTCATTATATCCTGACGTTCAATTTCAGTAAACCATACTCGCATATGAGCCGAAAGATCAATAACTCTTGATACTCCATATCTTAAGGTTGCCTTCTCTTCTGCGGTCAACTTATTTTTATTTTTTAACATTTCAGTATGTTGAGATAAATTTTTAGCAAAAATGTCTTTAACGAGGACAATTTCCAATTCTGTATATTATTTGGCAGGGAAGAACAAAAAATATTATCCAAGGTAGGAATTCCTTCGTCGTCATCGTTATCTGCCATTAATGGATTATCGCCCCCATCGTCACTTAACGAAATGAAATCTGGTGCTGGTGGTGGTCTCATTAGTTTTGTGCCATCAGGAAGAATGTTTCCAGAATGATTCTTGTCAATGCTCTGTTGTTGTTTGTCCTTATATTACACACATCAAAAGAAGTTTATAAAAAACATTGTTACAAGCTAAATTCATAATATAATTACCTCTTGAATCCTAGAAGACACGAAATCACTTGCCGAGTAGATTCGGTGTTCAGGAGTTCGAGGATGTTGATCTTGTTCATGCTGAAGTGGGGAAGTCACCAAGAAATAATCATCTATTTTCGTTCTTTTTTGAACTTTGCTACTGTCCTAAAAATTATAGGAACAAACCACAAATAATTAGTTCTTTGATACTTGTAATTTCTGGATAAAAAAAAAAATACGCATCCATACCTTTTCATTTTCTTCATATTTGTCCCTTTTTGACGAATTAAAAGAAGTTCCACTGATACTCCCAGTTCCCATCAGGTTTCCCACTACGTCTCCTGTAAAGGTTGGATTATAAAGTTGAAACGAGGGACCTATTGTACCAGCTGAATCACGCTCATTCTTCCATTTCCTAGCAGATTGGTAATCTGGTCCAGTTCGATCACCCTTACATAAAAAAAAAAATCGAGAAAAAGTTAGTAATTATTTCAAACTGGTATGTTCCTGGTTCCGCCTGATTTCTCTCCCACCAGGTCAGCGAACGGCCTTGAACATCAGGCAACCGAGCGGGTCACCTGTGCCCTGATAGGACCAGTGCTGGGTCAGCGAACGGCCTTGAACATCAGGCAACCGAGCGGGTCACCTGTGCCCCAACACTAGTTTTGTGGCTCAGCGAACGGCCTTGAATGACAAGAACCGAGCGGGTCCCTGTCACGCCACTATTCTCTAAACACAATTCTACAAGAAGATTGATTTTACCTCTTTATATCTCTTAAGAAGCAACTTTGCCTTTTCCTGTTTCTTATTTTGTTCATGTTTACAATCAACAATAGCGTTAAGACATCTAAGATACTGATCTATTTTCCGATCGAAAGATTCAGCCTTACACTCGTCTAGAAAACCCGTAATGCATCATTCGGAAGGCTTTCGCTTGAAGTATTCGTGCAAGTTGTCTGCCATTTAGTCTTTATTGATACAATGTTAACGTTCTGATTATAAATGGATCAGACGATCGAGATGTCTAAGACACTGTCTGACATCATTCCATTCGTCATATGCCTTATGTTACATAATTCAATGCAACGTGATTTTATGGAATGAGAAAAGATGCCGATCCAAAGAAAAAAAAATTTGAAGCAAATGGATGAAACTTTATTAATGATTTTTCAGAAAGAAAATGATAAAGGTATGATGCGAGTCCCAGCATCAAGTTATTATAAATTTCTATATTAATTGTTTTGTTTCGTTTACATAATTATCCCACACAAATTTTCGCCTACCTATATCAGTGTTCGCCAAATGATTATGACTGGCAAATGACTCAAATGACAAATGACAAATGATCTGTCATTTCAATTATCA